TAATAGCTGCTAAAGTATATAATATGATACAAACCGTTATTTACTATGAAGAACAAGAAAATTCAAAATTAACTATTATATTAGAGAAATTAGAATTTGTAAAAAATTTGCTTAAGAAATATAAACATATATATGCAAAGTCAAAAAAGTAATCAAAAATTACTAGTTTTTTAATTACCAAACTTTAAACTTTTACAATTTATTCACTCATGATCAATTCCTCTATGATCTCTATAATTCATCTTTCTATAATTTCTATAATTCATTCTTGCATAATTCATACCCTTCAGATTTATATTTTTAAGACTATTCTCAGGAATTCTATTTTTAAGACCTTCAAAACCCATATTCTCAAAATCTATACTCTCAAGATTTGTATTCTCAGAACCTGTATCCTCAAGATTTATATTCTTAGAATCTATACTCTCAAGATTTGTATTCTTAAGATTTATATCTTTAAGATTCATATTTGCAAGATTCATACCTTCAAGATTTATATTCACAAGATTTACAGGATTCATATACACAAGATCAGTACTTATATGATTTGTCTTTCTTTTATTCTCGATATTCATCTTTCTAGCTACAAAAAAAAAAGATATAAATAAATCTTATAAAATTATTCGTATTAAACAAATAATTTATTTAAGCATATTATACATATTCAACATACTAATATGTTAAATATAAACAAATTTTTTTGTCTAGAACAATTGACAAACTAATTACTGTAATTTACATAACTTGAAAAAATCAAAGACTAAAATAATAAAAAGAAATATATAGTAAAAAAAAAAAATTAACACTATATATAACCTAGCTTTTGAAATCTGTAACTATCACTGAAAATAACCTATTAGACTCAGTTTAAATTTATGAATTAAAAAGCTCTTGGTTGAAATTTAAAATAGTTTTAATTAGTACTATTTAGTAGCTATTTCCTATTATCTCGTCTTAAAACTCGAGTTCTATTTAGTCTTCTGGTATATAATTATTGTCTTGCTTTTAAAAACTTAAATATTAATTCATATAGTTCTACGTTACAGGTTTCTTTGATCTTTTGACTGGCTATAATATGAAAAAATTAAAGACTAGTCTATTTTAGAAATGCTATATTGGTTGTGCATAATATGTTGCTTAAATATTTGATACTCTATATAATAGTAAAGTATTTAAACTACTTTTTTATAGTTACTAAATTTTTTATTTATTATAATTGTAACTATATAAAGGTTTTTTATATAGTTATATTTTTTTATAGTCATCTAAATTTCATTTCTCAGATCCATAACTATAACAAGGTTAGACTGTATATAAATTTAAAATAAAGACTAGTTTAGATAGTAGTATATATATATATTTTTTTTTTTGAATATTAAGTAGTATATAATTTTTACAAATCTAATATAGACTTATAATTATTATTTTTTTTTTATATTAAGATGATCTCTTGGTTATCTCTTTTTATTTGAATATAGTTTTAACCTTACAATATATATTTTATATTATATATATAATTAAAAAATATAACTAGCTATATATATAACTTTTGGTTATCTATTTAAGTAGTTTGCTTATTACTAAATTTTATACTAGATACTATATTTATAATCTGACTAAGAATTATCTATATAAACACTCTGTAACTATATATATTATTTTATAAATCAAGCAAGAATACGAATACTCTTTTATTTTCAGATATCTAGCTTAGAATATATTTATCTTTAAAGTAAACCTGTATAGACTTATAATTATAATTGTTTAATATAGATAAAAAATTGTATATTTTTCTTTTTTTACTTTTTTTTATTTTATTTTTTTTTAGAATTAATATATATGTACCTAAGGGTATACTAAAATTTTTTGTACCTGACATAGCAACATGTAACAATATAATACACCTCTGATCACAGAGTATATAAACAGTGATCTTTTTTTTTAATTGGTTTTTTTGTTTTGTTCTAGCCCCATACTAATATAATTTTTTTTTCCAGTCGAATAGAAACTT